TTACTTCCTGTCTGTGTTCTTCTGCTATTCCCTTTAGTGTTTGCTTCCTGTCTGTGTTCTTCTGCTATTCCCTTTAGTGTTTGCTTCCTGTCTGTATTCTTCTGCTGTTCCCTTTAGTGTTTACTTCCTGTCTGTCTTCTTCTGCTTTACCCTTTAGTGTTTACTTCCTGTCTGTCTTCTTCTGCTGTTCCCTTTAGTGTTTACTTCCTGTCGGTCTTCTTCTGCTGTTCCCTTTAGTGTTTGCTTCCTGTCTGTCTTCTTCTTGTTGTTGTCCAGCACTCTCTGTATTTTAACCTCTTTCCACCTCTTTTTCTCTTTTTCTTCTCTTTTTCTGGGGACAGTTTAGCCATCATGAATCCCAAGTATTCCATGGTGTTTTCTGAGAAAGAAAAATTTATTGATATAACTGCATATAGTGCCGTGATCAGAGCGTTCTTAGCAACAGTCTATTATCGAAAAAAGAGCAGTTCACTAAATATCCAAATTGACCAATCAAGTAATAAACAGTAAAAGTACACTGTGTAACACTGCAATAAATCTTAGAATGTATTGCCAGTACAACTTCAGATATTCCTGTACAACAGTCAACAAAGATTCCCTAACTGAATCCTCTATATTCACTCTTTGTTTTTCCTATATTCCAGGTGGGGCTCCCCGAACCTACAAAGAGCCGTTCATCCTGTCCGGACCCCAGAATCTGACCATCACTGTCCATCAGACGGCCATCTTGGAGTGCATCGCCTCAGGAAACCCCAGGCCCATTGTTTCCTGGAGCAGGCTAGGTACCATTGGACATTTATAATAGAGTGTGTAGAGGAATATAAGGAAGATTAGGTAATAACAGCTTGTTTTAAGTGTTATTAAACAAACATCGTTGGTGTCTCCATCAGACGGGCGCTCCATCGGGGTGGAGGGGATCCAGGTCCTGGGGACGGGGAACCTGATGATCTCAGATGTTTCTCTGCAGCACTCCGGGGTGTATGTGTGTGCTGCCAATCGGCCCGGCACCAGGATGAGGCGTACTGCCCTCGGTCGACTCGTGGTACAAGGTAAGGCCATAATAAAGATATACTGCTTTAGTGTTCTTCTTCTTGAGCTCCTTACTAGACATCACTACTGGCCACTGGTGTTATACTAACTCACATGCAAGGCACTTTGTTAACAAGTAACTGTCTTATAGTATGTGAAATATGTGTTACCATGTCGGTTGAGGAGATTGTTGCAAAAAAATCGTTAAAGGTTTTCTATTATGGTCTTATTGTAAATCAAATCAAAGTTTATTTATAAAGCATATTTATAAAGCATATTTATAAAGCATATTTATAAAGCATATTTAAAAGCGATTTTTGGTCGGGCCAAAGTGATGTACATGTAATAAATACTACAATCACATAAAAACACATTACTACAATCACAATAAAAGACAATAAATTACAACAGATATATAAAAAACACAGGGAAAAGTCAGGAGTCGTGCTCCGCTCTGACTAAAAGGCCAGGGAGAAGAAGTGTGTCTTAAGAGTAGATTGAAAACCCCTAGGGTCTGGGCCGACCTCACATGGAGGGGCAGAGTGTTCCAGAGCCTGGGGCCAGCTGCTGCGAAGGCTCGGTGCCCTCGGGTTTTGAGCCTGGTCTTGGGCACTATCAGCAGCAGCTGGTCAGCAGACCTTAAAGCTCTGGCTGGGGTGTAGCGCTGGAGGAGTTCAGCTATATAGGCCGGAGCCAGCCCATTTAGGGTTTTAAAAACAAATGAAAGGATTTTAAAATCAATTCTGAACCGAACTGGAAGCCAGTGCAGTGAGGCCAGAATTGGGGTGATGTGGTCACGCTTTTTATGGCCAGTGAGAAGACGTGCAGCTGCGTTCTGCACTAGCTGTAGGCGTTTAATTGAGCCCTGGACTCCATACCCACATACAGAGCGTTGAGGACATTTTGGCTCAGCCAGGATTTAATCTCTGCTAAGCAGTTCATCAACTGCTGTAGTGAGTTGACATTTGAATTGAGTGGCAGATAGATCTGTACGTCGTCGGCGTAGCAGTGGAAGGGGATGTTGTGTTTTGTGAGAATTGAACCTAGGGGCAGTATGTACAGTAGAAAAAGGATGGGACCCAGGAAAGAGCCTTGGGGAACCCCACAGGTAAGAGGGGCTTTGGCAGAGGAGAAGGCACCTAGCTGCACTGAGAAGCTACGGTCTGTGTGTCCTTTCTGTCTGTAGTGTGTCTGTAGTGTCTGTTGTCTGTCCTCACCTCTGCGTAGAGGCAGCAGTTTGTTCTCCAGAATGTCTCTGGCGTCGGTTCCTTCGTCCATCAGGTCCAGTTTGGTGATCACACCGATGGTCCTCAGACCTGAAGACACAAGTACAAAAAACAGCTTAACACAGTCATGTTGTGTCTCTTTGCTATTGTTGTGTCTCTGTGTTGTTGTTGTGTGTGTTGTTGTTGCGTGTCCCTCACCCTGCGGGTCCACCTCCTTGGCGATCTTCAGAGCATCAGAGTTGGCCAGGTCAGAGTTGGCGGGGGACACAGCGAGCAGAAGACAGTTGTCTTTAGTGACAAACTGCATCAACATCTCTCTGATCTGAGACTCAATGTCCACCGGCTGGTCACCCACCGGGACCTTCGTCATGCCAGGGAGGTCCACCAGGGTCAGATTCAGGACTACAGGGCAGGGAGGGAGGGAGAGAGAGAGGGAAAGAGAGAGAGAGAGAGAGAGAGGGAGAGGGAGAGAGAGAGAGGGAGAGAGGGAGA